GAAATGAAAGAAAAGAGTGCTGGACTGTTATTGAATATCTAATCTCCTATATGGCAGTAAATGCTGACCAATCTCTTCACAGATGAAGAAGAGACTTGAAGCAACAAAAATGTGGTTCTAATGATGAATGTTCTTAGAAACAAAGAAAAAAATGCTTGACTGCTATGGAATATCTAATCTCCTATATGGCAGTGAATGCTGACCAATCTCTTCACAGATGAAGAAGAGACCTGAAGCGATAGAAATGTGGTTCTAATGATGAATGATGAAACAAAGAAAAGAGTGCGGGACTGCTATGGAATATCTAATCACTTATATGGCAGCGAATGTTGGACAATTTTCTCATAGATAAAGAAGAGATTATGGGTCTACCAACAGATTCTAAGAAAACATGGACTCAACATATGAGCAATGTGGAAGTCTTAAGAAAAATAGGAACAATTAGGTGAGTTTTACGTCTTTTTAACCTTTTACAGATTATTTAAAGCTAGAATATTTTTAGATAATAATGATTAACTGATAGAAGTCCTACTAATAAACTATGTAGGGAGAGGTTGATTCCTACCTTCTCCAAGTTTATTTGAGCGTTTGTGAATATAACGAACCCGACTGGAATTGGAACTTACCTTTCTAATTTCCAATTCTGTTTCGGTTTTTAGATTACACCACCGGTTTTTAGCCGTGAAGGTTATAACAGGTGGAACTGAATGTACATTGTCTGTATATTTTTCATGGAAATAGCGATAGAGTAGTTTGAGTCTTACAACTTTTCGTCTGTGGGGAAAGGGGTTGCAGTGTGGGAAATAATTAACTACCTAAAAGGACGGGTAGACACTTTTGGACTCCTCGGAATAATGATAGCCTACGTCCTGACAGGATGTAAGCATAGTCAGCAGCCGCTCGCATCTGATCATCGGGATCGTCTCTCCTTATTACCTTTCCTTCCTTTGGTAGCGGTGGCGGTAATGGTTCTGTTAGCCCAGCCTGCTCATAAAGGGTAGACAAGGACAGTTAGACGAGACCATTCGCATGAATTTGATTTTGGTGGAAAAACTCTGCGCGACGGAGACGCCGACACACTTGGCCAGAAACGGCCTCCCTCGTGGTTCAAAGGGGATTGACACAGGCGAGATCTGGCAAACCTGATTGCATCGGGCTGTCAGATGCTTCATCTGTCAAGGTCCACCTTGGTTACGCCAGCCCGACTGGCGCTGCCCTCTTCCGCCGTTTTTGTTCGATAAGATCGTGTAGATCTTTATCTATCCCGTCGTTAGAGTCTTCGGGGGTTGGTCGCATTCAGTCTGATCCATCCTCCTTGACCTTACACCAGGAGTGGACCTACAGGATTTGAAACCCCAGACAGCTTCTCTTTTGGGATTACTGGGACAACTAAGCCCTCTACCAATGATAAGGAACGAACATATATATTTTAGACTGGATGTCAGAATGAACAGTTTGTTATCAAATGTATCATTAGGACTTATTACTTTAACGACAAAAATAGAAATTAATCAATAATTAAGAAAAGTATAACATTATCATTAAATGAGAACATTTTTTTTTATTATTGTTGTCGCTAAAAACATTTGAAAGTTAAATAATAAAAGATGAAATTTACAACTGAACTAATAGTTTAAAAAATGTAAGCAAAAAAAAATAACGTTACGATTTGAAACGCTTTTCCTAAAATACAACCTCGTCCAAAAAATGTCATGTTACTGCAATTAATAAATAAGAAAAGGATACAAAATAAAATTATGGACAAAATGTTATTGAGAATGTTTGAATGATAAATGATAGGGAAAGAAGTTGACCATACTGAACTAATAAATAGTCTACGAACAAAACATCCATTACGACTTGAAATGCATGTATATTCCTGAAATATTCCCGAAATTGTTTGTTCATTTGCGTCAGTTGTTACTACTATTTCCTTTCTAGGGTTCAATATTTTTTTACCACTGGCTTTTTTTGCAATAACAGCTTTTAAATTTTCAAATACTGTCTGTTGTTCTTTTGTCCAAATAAATTCTACGTTCCTTTTTCTTAAAGCCGCAAAAGGTTCTGTTAATTCGGAGTATCGCTCTATATATCGTTTGCAGAAAGTTACAGGTCCTAAGAAAGATTCCAATTTTTTTTTGTTCTTATGTACTTCAACTTTTAATATTTTGTCAATTATCGATTAGTCTGGTTAAATGCCTTCGTTAGATATGGAATATCCAAAAAATGATATTTTTCAGTGTTGTGAACACTTTTTTCACTAATTGTTCATCCAGCATTTTTTTTAACTTATTCAAAACCATACTGGTTTTTCATTTCAATTCTTTGTCGTTAATAGCACCAATACAAATGTCATCCTGGTAATATATTGTATTTTTTATATCGCTACCAATAACTTGCTCGCTAGCCCTTTGAAAATCGCGGTCTTAATTCCATACTGCATTCCTTTCCATTTTAATAAGCCTACTGGCATACTTATAGCTGTGACTTCTTTAAAGTAGTCGTCAAAAGGTATTTGACGGTATGCTGACTTTAAATCAATCTTTAGAGAATGTTTTCGGACCTGCAAGGTAGTTCAAAGTCCATTCTACACTGGAGATAGGACATGAGCCTGCACATATTTTGTGGTTTACACTTATTTTGTAGTCGCCACATATGCGCAGATCCCCATCCTCCTTTCTTAAAATTACTAACGCAGAGGCCCATCAGGTGGAAATCGTTCATGTAGATCTTTTTCCCAGTATTTGTTTGAATTTTTCCACAACTGTTAGTAGTAGATGGACTGGCACTTTTCGTGCTTGAAAATAAGAGGGGGGGGGCATTTTTCTTTAGTCTTAACTTTGCTTTAAATTTTTTAAACAATCCGGTTTTTTCTCCCTTAACTTTGTTTGCCAATTTTGTCGAATTTATATTCAATACATCATTTTCTATTAGTCCGTGATTCTTTTCACAGTTTGCTATGATAATTGGTTAATACGTCAAACTTACTTTTTAGTTCAACGTAGGCTTCAAAATAGCCTAACGTTTTACGTTTTTTATCACAGAACTATCGAACTGATTCAATTTGACAAGGCTTTTCTTTAATCTTGGTTTTCCTAATTTCTTCCATAAATTTCTAGGTATCAACGTTACGTCACTTCCTGTATCGAGTTACATGTCCAATAATACATTATTGATTCGAATGTTTGATAATCCTTTTTCGTTTTTTTTTTCACTGAAAAGACGTCCATATTTATTTCATTTTTTTTTTGTTGGGCCGTCTCTGCGTTTTTTTTTTTTGTTTTTTTTTGTGGGGGGGTTACACAGGAAAAAATAATTCATCTTGAAATACTTTTCACATTTTTTATGTGCCGGACATTTTTGTTTTTCTCTTTGACGTTGATATCCACAAAAAGTACACCTTATTTCATTTTTCTTTTCTTTATGGCGTATATGTCCATTTCTTTTACCAGATCCGTAACTTTTGTTCTGTTGAATTTTCCAATCAATTCTTGTTGCTGAACAAATTCAACACAATGTTCTAGTGACAACTTTCCCAGTTGGAAATGCATTAGTGTCATTTGCTGATCGCCCTCATTTTGAAGATCGTCTACCAATTTCATTTAGACCAAATCCTCTTAGATTGATTGGCTTTCTCAGCCCATTTTGAGAAATATTCATAAACTTAGCTCGCTCTCTCTCTCTCTCTCTCTCTCTCTCTCTCTCTCTCTCTCACTGTGTGTGTGTGTGTGTGTGTGTGTGTGTATTCACTAGTTTTTCTCTTGGGTGCTATGTTTTTCACTATTAGTTGACTTTTATCGTCAAATGTCATTTCTTCCAACTGTCTTCGGTGTGCAATTGCTGATGCATTTGTAATGGCCTTACAAGCAGCAGTTACCAAGAAGAGATCAGTTATTTAATTTGCTCCCCCAACTGATTTCAAATCCTCTAGCTTTTTTTGTTCTGGCTTTAGCTGCTAGAATCTAGAGCCACGCTTTGCGTACTCATAATTATCCAATGTTAATTGTTTGTTCGGTTTGTTAGATATCGGCGACGCCATTCCCCTTTTAAAGCCTTGTGCCATACTTGTATGTTAAGATTTATTGCGTAAAATGCATAATTGTGGCACAAGGCCGAAAAGTGGAGAGTGGGATTGAGGCTGGTTGTCACTTACTGTGCTATACCTAGCTAATCCGATTCACGGCCCATTCATTCGTTACGATTGACACATTCAACACAAAAACCCATCCATCACCAATCAATCCTCCATGTACCATAATACCGCATACTCTCAGGGGTGACCTAAAAAACGCACCCCATGACATAAAAATTTCATTTCCTGATTATAAAATACTATACATAAAATGTGTACATGATATAAAATGAGAGGGGAGAGGGTGAGCCCCAAAAAACGAACTAAATTATCAACACAAACAAATTAAAGATAACTGATGTTAGTTGGACCCGTCCAGCCCTCAAAAAAGAGAGGTCACTGACCTACGACAGAATCAAGAGGCTCTCTCGCTAAGGGAGAGGGAAAGAAGAAAATATATACGAACCTGGGGAATAAATAAAGCTGACCCAGTCGTGATGATAGGAGGCTAAAAAACAAACTGGGGAGGTTAGGAATATCAACTTGGAACATAACCAAAGATGAAGCCCGGAGCAGGCCAGGAACAACACTTACTCACATTAACTAGGTACACAAAACTTGTCTAGCCTGACTAGGGTAGGGTTCCATAGGAAAATCACCCCGATATGAATTAAGCAGACCTAAAAGAGAAAACCAAGGCTAGCCCCGTTCACACGAACCAAGCTCGCTTCAGTCACCCATCTTTCGCTAAATAATTGTGTTTTCATGCGCGATAAATCACCTCAAGTTCTTATCAGCACGTCGTCGTTAATCGTCACGACGACGTCACAATTAGACGTCATAAATAGCACTGGTCAGTAGGCGCCGATTTTTTGTGTTAGTGAGCAAAAGGCCTCCAGCGCTTTCAGACTCATGAGAGAAGCAGAGAATGCGAGAGATTGTTCATGTACAAGCTGGTCAAGGCGGTAATCAAATCGGAAGCAAATTCTGGGAATACATTTCGGACGAACATGGCATCGATCCCCAGGGATCCTTTCGAGGAGAATCAGATCTTCAGCTTGAGCGACTGAACGTTTACTTCAATGAAGGCCAGCGCGGCAAATTTGTTCCCCGGGCGGTTCTGATGGACCTTGAACCTGCCGTGTTGGATTCAATCCGTGCAAGACCGTTCGGTCAGCTCTTTCGACCGGACAATCTCGTATTTGGCCGAACAAGCGCGTCGAATAACTGGGCCAAAGGACAGTACACAGACGGCGCCGAACTCTGCGATCCCATTTTCGATATCATCCGGAAAGAGGCCGAGGGTTGTGACTGCCTACAGGGGTTTCAACTTGCTCACTGCCTGGGCGGAGGCACTGGTTCTGGTTTCGGGACCTTACTTCTGAGTAGACTCCAAGATGAGTATGCTGATCGCATCAAACTGACCTTCTCTGTCATACCATCACCAAAAGTTTCGGAAACGGTTGTCGAACCGTACAACGCTATACTCTCACTGAACATGCTGGTGGACGTCGGCGATGAGGTTATGCTTTTTGACAACGAGGCCCTGTACGATATTTGCTATCGCACCCTCAAACTGTCCCACCCATGTCTGGACCATCTGAACCACCTGATCTCAACCAATATGTCGGGATTGACAGCCTGCTTTCGGTTCCCAGGACAGCTGAACGCAGACCTACGCAAACTCGGCGTCAATATGATCCCTTTTCCTCGTCTTCATTTCTTCATGCCTGGTTTTGCTCCCCTCACAGCTATGGGTGTGAAGCCATACCGTGCGCTAACCGTTCCTGAACTGACTTTACAAATTTTTGATCCCAAAAACATGATGGTAGCTGCCGATCCAACTCACGGACGCTATCTCTGCGCTGCTTGTATTTTTCGGGGACGTATGTCGATGAAGGAAGTGGATGAACAAATGTTGAATATACAGACGAGAAATAGTTCCTATTTCGTACCTTGGATACCAAACAACGTCAAAACAGCCGTATGCGATATTCCTCCGCGCGGGCTTAAAATGTCAACAGCTTTTCTCGGCAATAACACTTGCATCCAATCATTATTCACTCGTCTGCTTGAACAGTTCAACGCTATGTTCCGGAGGCGGGCTTATTTGCATTGGTATACGGGCGAAGGTATGGATGAAATGGAATTTACAGAAGCAGGTTCGAATGTCGGCGATCTTGTTTCTGAGTACCAGCAGTACCAAGATGCCACAGTTGACGATTAAATGATTTTTGTCGGGTAGGGGGGTGCATTTTTTCCTTCAGGAGCAAGGAACTATTTTTTTCTGCGGCAAGATTTTGGAATGATACCTTTGAAAAGAATTTTTAAAGAAATTACCGACTCGGTATCACGTGATAATTTTTTTTTCGTTTTTTTATTGGTCAACGAGGACCAATTTTGTATGGTATTTTTAAAATAAAATTTAGATGATTTTGTATATTTAAAATAATCTTAAAATATTATTTTCCCACCTCTTAAAAAAAAAAATTAAAATGTAATAATATTAATGCGAGGAATTGAATGAATATCTTTTCAAAAATGATATTACCTTGTTTAAAGGAAAGTGCCAAGTTTTTTCCAATATATGTACTCGTAAGTTTTCCTGTGTCGATTTTCAGTTACATCATCTTCAGTTACATCATCTTTCATATACAACCATGAAATTAACTGAGAATGGCGTGTGATGACGATTGTGCTGCAATAAACTGCGATAAACTTACTTAGTATCTCAATTCTCATCCCATCATATTTTTCAAACTTCCAGATTCATTGGGGGGGCGGGGGTCTTGTTACCTTAACGCATCGGCCAATTAATTCAGCATTCATCAGCTAGAGGAAAACCGTAAGTGAAAACGAATAGTACAAAATCGGAAACAAAGACTTGGACTCACATATCTTCTTCCGAGAGCTTGCCGTACAGGTATGTCGCTTTTACCAATTCGATCATGGAAATCCATGGCTAGACTGAGCATAAATCTGTAGTCATATTGCCACCATTATACGACAATGTATGACCGACTTTCTTTAAATTCTGAAATAAAGAATTTTCATTATCGATTTTTGACCAGCTTTCATCTCATTTTCTTCTGTTCGCCGTGCCCCTTCAGGACATGAACAATCATGGTTGTTCACAAAATCATATCGTGTTTTTGTTTGTTTGTTTAGAGGCATTCCAACTTCTCATGAGTCATTTTAATGCCAAAATTTAATTTTCTTCAAAACATTGGTAATTTCTTTTACAAAAATGTATTAAAAGTATTTTTTCGAAAAATGTATTACTAGTAATAATTTATCTTTTTCCTTGGTCATTTTTTAAAATTATTACAAAAAATGTATTATTTTTATTTTTTACTATGAAAATGTACTGCTGGTATTTTTACTATATTTTTTTTAATACTTTCCTAGTGTTTTAACCCCAGTTTGGGGGGATAACTATTTCCCATAGCTGGGTCCCTAACAAATGCTATCACCCCGGGTCAGGCTGGACCTGTGAACAAAAGCAATTAGATAGACCCACGTTCCTCAAAACCTCCCGACCAGAGGCCTTGCTGCCGGATTTAGTTTATTGTCATACCTAGAACGGCTTATACATTGTAATTATCTATCTTAGTAAGTTTTGTCTATTCGTTATCTCACCCAATCCCTGTTCTGCCATCCATTTAAATAGGCACATTATATAGGTTACTCGCTACTTTTATCTGCCCCCCTTTTGCCTTCAAAATGTCTTGTGCGCGTTAATTTTTAACCGGCTTTATATTTCTTAAATCTTCCTCATTGTTCAAATGTTCATCTCCCGTTATTGCTCATTTCAGATTACTTCGTTCTGAAGATGCTGTAAATAGACATTGAAATATTAATTACAACGTTTCGGTCGTTGTACGCTCCGGCCTTCTTCAGTTGGTTGGAATGTCGAACTGAACCCTTTATTTCGCTCACTGGGGTAGACTGTTCTAGTTCCACATGCCATGTTTAATGGATGTCAGTTATCTCCTGTTGATTTCCCTCTGAAAGTGTTGAAGCTTGGATAAGCATGGAATAATAATAATACAACACAAAATGTACGTAAACAAAATGTATTGAAACAAGGAAAAGGTACACAATATTTACAGTTAGTTTTGGTATATTCTTGGGAAGACCGTTCCTGTAGAATGGGTTGACTAAATCGCAGTCGGGCAGAGTATCTGGATTGGATCTCTTCTTACTTCCTCCATTGTCTTCTTGGTACCAACCCATATTTATATGGTTGGTACTCCAATATGTAAATTAGGTGGATCGTACCACAACAGAAAGTTATCCACTGCCTTAGCCGGGTACTGAACTCACACTCTTTGGGTCCTGTCACTGGATCTAACCAACGCCTTTATCCACTGTGCCATGTAAATAGTGTACGTAATACCTCATCTCAGAAATATAGACAGACATCGAAATATTAATCAACAAGCTAGTTAAATATCGTTTACGAAGATGTCATTCATTTGGATCCACCTCCTTTTTATGACTTTTGAGTTTTTAGTATTGCTTTTGTTAAAAAATCACGTTTTCGTTATTGTCTTAAATTCATGTGGTTAAAACTAACTAAACTAATGACTTTCTTCGTGGTTTGGAAACAATTTCTTCATAGTTTCTATAGTTTCTATCTTGTAATTTTACTAATTACCAGTCGACTATGTAACGAGATATACACAATGGAAAGAATCAAAAAGGTTAAAAAAATTAAACAAAAAAGAGTATCCCCAAAGCAACAGGAAATATGCATTTAAAAGACAGTCGTGTTTGCATGATGGAGTAAAACGTGAAAGTGTGAAGAATTGTGGCTTCTTTTTATATGCCATGTCCTTTCAGGACGTAGGCGATCATGGTCCTCCACTTGTCCCTATCCTTTGTGGCTCTCAAAAGGTTTTATGTTTCTGCCAACTCCCTCAGACCATCCATCTGCCCAAGCCCGCCACGTATGTCATGCGCAGCATTCCCCTGTCTCTTTTACGCTCTATTCGTCCCGTGAGTATTAGATTCTCTAGGCCTTCCTTTCTCATTACGTACTCCAGAAACTTCATTTGCCTCTTTCTTAAGAATAAGCTTCCTCCTTGTGTGCATCCTCTCCAAGACCTCATAGAGTTGCATTTGAATTTCTCTCCCGGTCAAGATGCAACTGCCACTATCACGATGGGCGAGTGGGTGGCTGATTAGAATCTCTTCTATTTCTTAATGATGGTGGTGGTGGTGGTGGTATCTGGTTTAACTTTTTACATTTTTTTTTGTTTCAAATGCTAAAAGAAAAGATCCCACTCTTTGTAAATGCGTTCTCATATTCCTAGTCAGTCAAAACCGTCATTAAATGGTGCGACCCCAACAATTAGCATTACATTAATAAGCACATTATCAGTAAGGACATGTATATATATATATATATATATATATATATATATATATATATATATATATATATATATATGCTCGGTGAGATGATGGTCATAAATTGTCAAAATTAAGCAAAATTAAAATAACACTGACATCTCATTTTAACAGATATATTGACAAAATTACACAAAAATATCTTGAAATACTAAATGTATGTGAATATATATATGTGCGTGTGTGTATACATACACACACACACACACACACACACACACACACACACATATATATATATATATATATATATATATATATATATATATATATATATATATATATTAATACATTTTTATGTTTATACGTTCTTTTTTATAGATACAAATATTTAAGTAAATGCTCTGTTTATAATAAACAGTATTAACAACATTTACCGGCCTGAATGTCCGAGAAATCGTCATAGAAAATATGCATCCTCCAACAGGAATCGAATTTCTCGATATGAAAATTTCTCAGACAATCAGGCCGGTGAATGTTGATATTGTTTATTATAAACAGAGCATTTACTTAAATATTTGTATCTATAAAAAAGAATGTATAAGCATAAAAATGTCTTAAAATAATTGTCGGACTTTGTCCATTTCATAATTAATATATGTACATTTAAGCAAGGGTGAGAACACATTGGAAAGAATAAAATAGATTAACAAATTAAACCATAAAAATGTAGCCCAGGATACATCCATTTAAAAGAGCATGTTGAGCATTTCATTTATCACCCTTTTGTTTGTTTTTTTTTCTGCTTCGTTCATTTCTTGTTTGATGATGTCACTAAAGCTTCCCTTAGTGTGTCCGACTTCGAGTTTCCATTTTGTCGCTCGTATCTTCTTTTCACACTGTCCATATATTTTTCCTTCAGTTCCCGGTTGTTCAGGAGTCTGTTGTAGTGTAATCTGGGTGCTGCGTTAGGCTTCTTCAGTTGCCGTAGTTTCATTCATAGTTTACATATAACAGGAAGGCGATCGCTTCCGCAGCCGACACATGGATAGGTTTTGTCGTGAACAACTGCATTCCTGAGCTTCTTTTTGCTAGTTATGTAGTCGATTTGGTTTTTAGTTTCTGCTGGTCCTCTCCGTCTCCATAATCCTCTTAGATGTCTTGGGAGAAGGTGTTGGCTATTACCTGGTCAATCGCCGTGCACCATTGGACCCATTTTTCACGCGTTCGTTGCGTGTTCCTGCTCCGTATTTGCCAGGTATTTCACCATCCACCTCGTTTCCTACATTCTGATCAGCCATGATAATTATAATTTCTTGCGATTTGCCTTGGCGTTGTCTACCATGGAGTAGAAAGATTCCATTTATTCTTCCGTGCTTTGTGCTGTCGGTGCATACACTATTATGATAGATATGTTGAAAGGCTTTATTTTTAGTTTAACTACAAGAATTCTTTCAGGTAACTCACAGTATCCCAGAAAGCATTTCTTCATGTCTTTATCTAGTATGAATCCAACTCCTTTTTTCATTTTTCTCTCCGCCTACCTTATATAATCCTGTGGTTGTTACTGAGAAAATATTCGTTGTTTAGCCACCTAGTTTCACGTAAAATGTTGTCATTTAACCTATTCATCTCCTGTTTTAATTTTTCCAACTGGCCACAATTGCTTAACAATTCTGTGCGGGTTTGCCAAAGACACCGGAACAAGGAACGCGATGTTCATTCTCATAAAGTTGTCAGATTGAACAATACGAATGCTGAAGGACGTGTATTATAGATTATGAAAAGGCGTTTGACAAAGTACGCCGCAAAGATCTGTTGGAGCTGCTCGGCAACCTTGACATATTCGGGAAAGACATTGGAATAATCATGAATCTATACCGACAGCAAACCGCCTTCATAAGTGTCATGGGTCCTTACCTATAACTACAGAATGAACTCTTCCTAACACTATGTATAGTACGCCTCTCAAGAGAGAGGGTCGAATCAAGCCGAGCTTCTAGACTTGACGGTCGAACTCTCTGCTTTTCAGCAGAAAGGAACCCGGACGAGGTTCCGCCGAAGGGCAGAATCTCGTTCGGGGTGAAATGACCTACCCGATCTCGTTTTTACGAGTTCTACGGGCATTTTTTGGCTGAGCCTACGGGCTCAGGAAACCCACGATAAAAACGACCTTGTGTCACATGCAACCCTCGTGGGGGGGTGGCTAGATACCGAATCAAGCCGAGCTTCTCGACTTGACGGTCGAACTCTGCTTCTGAGCAGAAAGGAACCCGGACGAGGTTCCGCCGAAGGGCAGAATCTCGTTCGGGGAGAAATGACCATCCCGATCTCGTTTATACGGGTTATACGGGCATTTTTTGGCCGAGCGTACGGGCTCGGGAAACCCACGTAAAAACTCGGCCTTGTGCCACATGCAACCCTCGTGGTGGTGGGGGGGGGGGGCTAGATACCGAATCAAGCCGAGCTTCTCGACTTGACGGTCGAACTCTCTGCCTGTAAGCAGAGAGGAACACGGACGAGGCTCCGCCGAAGGGCAGAGTCTCGTTCGAGGAGGTTGACCAACCCGATCTCGTTTATACGGGTTCTACGGGCATTTTTTGGCTGAGCCTACGGGTTCGGGAAACCCACGTTAAACTCGGCCTTGTGCCACATGCAACTCTCGTGGGGGGGTGCTAGATAGCGAATCGAGTCGAGCCGATAGTAGTTCACTCCAAACCAGACTGACAGTCATACTAACACCTTCCACATCTTGTATTATTATTTCGTGTAATATACCTTCGTTATTTCTACTCTTGTGTTCGGGTTGTTCTTCCTTGGTCCTAACCTGGACCATAACAATAAGGATAAAAAAATGAGTTCAGCAAACATACAGAAATAGAAAGGGGTGTAAGGCAAGGATGTGACTTCTCACCGGGCTTATACAGTCTATAAAGCGAGGCGATTCTGAGAGAATTAGAAGTCCTACCGGAATTCATTATTTGCAGCCACAATCAAGTACAGAAATTTAAATATCTGGGAAGTGTTTTAACAGAAGACGGAAAGTGTGACACTGAGATTCGAAGGCGTATTGGGAGGGCCAAAGATGCATTCCAAAAGCTAAGCAGAGTATTAAGAGACAGGAAAATTTCTTTGGAAACAACGAAAAGTGTATTGAAATGTTACGTGGCATCTGTCCTTCCGTATGGTAACGAATGCTGAACAATCTCCTCAAAGATGAAGAAGAGACTTGAAGCAACAGAAATGTGGTTCTACAGAAATATGCTGAAAATACCATGGACCTAACATGTGAGCAACGACGAGGTTTTGGAGAGAATGAACACAAAAAGAAAACGTATATTTAACATCAAGGAGAGGCAGTTGAAATTTCTTAGGCACGTAATGATGAAAGACGGCTTGGAAAATCTAATACTCACGGGACAGGGAGAGGGAAAAAGGAATAGGGGAAAAGCAGTGGGTAACATACTTGTTGGGCTTAAGCGACTGGATGTCGGAACAGGGTTTGGCAGAAATTACAAAACGACAAAACTTATTAAAAGCTACAAATGAGAGGAAGATGTGGAAGGCTATGATCGCATGCGTCCTGAAGAGACAGCACGTAAAAGAAGAATATGTATGGCTGTATGTGGATTCAACACAGTTACTAAACGAAGAAAACTTCTGCCAATTACAAAATGAGGAGACTTACAATTACTTCTAAGCAGCATGGGACCAAGAGTAAGAGCCTTAGCCTTTGGCCTTGTGCCACACTTGCTGTATGTTTATGCAATAAATATCGAGTAAGCCAGTCAGCACCAAAGTCAACCATTGCATTGAAAACATTGGGAGAAGCTATCAAATAAAAGTTTCTTTTTATTATTTTAATCGTTCGCATTTATAACAGAAATGAAAACAGTCTTAAAATTATTTTGCGTTAATACCTTAAATGTTATCTTGCGATGAATGATGAATTCAGTATAATATTCGACTTTTAATTTGCTGGGGGGTTAATAAAAAGTTTGTACCCAACGGGGCCGATGATTAAAAAAAAAGGGTTAGGAGACACTGGGTTAAATTTCTTTCTTTCTTTCTTTCTTTCTTTCTTTCTTTCTTAATTCTTTCTTTCTTCTTTCATATTAAAGTCATCCTTGTTTAAATATTTTTTTTTCTTTCTTTTAATTGTCATTCTTTTATTCATATTAAAGTCGCATTCATCTAAATAATTCTTTCTTTTTTTTTTTCTTTCTTTCTTTCTTTCTTTTTTCTTTCTTTCTTTCATTCATTTTTTATTTTCTTTTGCATTAAAGTCGCCTCTATATTTATATTTTTCTTTCTCTTTTCCTTTTTAAAATTGTCTTTATGCAAATATCCTTTCTCTCTCTTTTTTTTTTAATTATTTTTCTTTCTTAAGAAAGACGCTTCTGCTTAAATCTTTGTTTTTATTTTTCTTACTTTTAATTAATTCCTGTTTTTTTTCTTTCACATTAAAGTTGCCTGTTTAAATAATTCTTACTTTCTTTAAAAAAAAATCAGGTCTATTTGAAAATATTTTCCTTCGTTTTTTTTTCTTAGTATATTAGTATATACCATAAAATTTATTTATGTTTAAATAATTTTTTTATTTATTCTCTCATTTGTTCTTTTTACTCTCTTAATAAATTTGTATGTATTTGAATTGATTCTTTCTTTCTTTATCTATCTATCTATCTATCTATCTATCTATCTATCTATCTATCTATCTTTTCTTCTATTCACTTTTCTTTCTTTCTGTTTGTCTTTCTTTCTTTTTTATCAATTATTTCTTTCTTTTTTCTTTTTTCTTTTTACTATCACCTTTATGTTTAAATAATTTTTTTTATTGATTTTTTTCATTCATACTTTTTACTCTCTTAAGAAATTCGTATATGTTTAAATTGATTCTTTCTTTCTTTCCTTCTTTCTTTCTTTCTTTATTTCTTTATTTCTCACTTTATTTATTTAATTATATCATCATTCTTCTTCTTCTTTCGGTTTCTGTTGTATACACATTTCCTTCCACTGACTTAATGTTAGAAATGTCTTCATGACATTTTCTACTGAAAAAAACCCCCTAAAAACTCCCACACATTTTGCAGGGATAAAGCTCTTTGTAATATGTAAGCTAGACTTGTGAGTACAATTTTTAGTATTTCTTTAAAGTATGAGCTGCCAGGAATTCGTTCAATGAGTCTATCGAACCTTTCCCAATCAATCCGAAGGCTCCATCTACAACTGGAATTATGGATGTCCTCATGTGCCAAATTTTTGAGATTTCAACTTCAAGATCGTTGTATTTTGATATTAAAGCACATACTGTTTATTTATTTATTTATTTATTTTATTTATTTATTTTATTTTATTTTATTTTTTGTGGACTTGGATCCCGATGTCTGGGCGATTAGATTTGATGGTTCTGTCTGTTTGTATTGTAATGTCTCTTACAATAGTCACAGGTCGCATCTATGTAACCGGAGATGTTCATACCAGTTTCTTGAAATTTCCTTCCCATAAATGTTGCATATTTTCTAGAGGAGATATTGGCCCAGTCTATCATATCGAGTTAATACTCGGCATGATAGAGTGGGAAAATAACACCGAGCAACCTGAGAAAGATTTTCCATTGTTTATGGATATTTATAACAGAATCTGCATTTCAGGTTAACACAATTTTTCAGTATGTGTACTTCGTAATTTCTAGTTCGCAAGTATTAGTCTTGTGCAGCAAGAATAAAACCTTCGGTTTCATATTTTATCTCACAGCCCCAGCGTCACACTAACATTGTGCAACCTGATACAAGACTGTCAATTGTTTCTGGATATTTATCATAGAATCTGGATTTTGGTCTAACATAGATTTTCAGTATTGGTCCTGTGTAGTAAGAATAAAACCTTTGGTTTCAGCTTTTAACCCTGTACTACGTGACCACTCATGGGTACGAGGTTTGTTTACATAAGCTTGTTTGGTACTGGAATTTTCCAGTGCAGATATTAGCCAATTCTAACGTGCCGTGTTTTATATCCAGTGGGTGCCAATACCGCTCAACCTGATACAAGATAGTCAATTGTTTCTGGATATTTATCACGGAATCTGCATTTTGGACTAACAAGATTTTTCATTATGTGTCCTTTGTAATTTCTAGTGAGCGTGCATTGGTTCTGTCTAGTTAACAACTAGATTATTATTATTATTATTATTATTATTATTATTATTATTTGTTACATATTACTTCATAAACCGAACAAATACTTGATCGTTTCGAAAAAGAAATTTGGTAAAATTAAAATTGTTAATATGTTTGCCTTGTAATATCAGACTGTGTATATTGTAAAGCCCCATAAAATTGTTACAGGTCTGATTTCCGTAACCGGGTCTGGGTGCTGTTCATAGCAATTTCTTGCAATTTCCTTTTCGTAAGTGTTGCAGCTTTTCCAGTGCCAATATTTGTCAATTCTGTCGTGCCGTTTTATATTCATTGGGTGCCAATACCGCGCAACCTGATACAAGATGGTCGACTGGATCTGGATATTTATCACAAAATCTGCATTTTGGACTAACACGATTTTTCATTATGTGTACTTCGTAATTTCTAGTTAGCAATCATAGGTCCTGTGCAGCAAGAATAAAACCTTCGGTTTCCGATTTTAACCCTACGCTACATTACCATTGATGGGTAAAGGGTTTGCCTACATCAGCTTGTTTGGTACGATCAGAGTATAGACATGAAGAAGCTGATCTTGCCATTGTCTTTTCATTTGGTACATTGCATTTGCTTTGTTTTTTGCCACTGCAGTCGCGGTGCATTATGGTTTATTTGCACTTCTTCACCCACTTGAAATTCGGACTATTGTCCTCATCTTTGTCGCCATATTTATTACAACGTTTCGGCCGTTGTACGCTCCGGCCTTCTTCCTTGAGGACACATGGCACAGTGGATAAAGGCGTTGCTTAGATCCAGTGACAGGACCCAAAGAGTGTGAGTTCAATACCCAGTTAAGGCAGTGGATAACTTTCAGAAGGAAATTAACAGAAGATAACTGATAACTGACATCCATTAGACATGGCATGTTGAAATAGAACAGTCTACCCCAGCAAGCGAAATAAAAGGTTAAGTTCAACATTCCAACCACCTGTAGTCCGAATAATGTGAATAATGTACATAATACCTCATCTCAGAAATATAGACAGATACTGAACGGCCGAAATGTTGTAATAAATATGTCGATAATAGTCCGAATCCCAAATATGTCGACAATAGTCCGAATAATGTAAATAATGTACATAATACCTCATCTCAGAAATATAGACAGACACTTGAAATTCATTTTTGAATTTGTTGGTTTCTTTTATTAGTGAATAAAATTTCTTATTTCTTTCCTGTTCTTTGACACATATCATCATTCAGTCTTCTGTATCTACCAGTTATTTTTGAAGACTGATTGTTGTGGTTTCGTAAGGCAGTTCTAGACGAATTAAACCTCTACTTCTTACGGATCTGGACACGTACAGACAATCAACTTCAGATTTTAGGATAATGAATGCACGTGGCAAGTGAGCAGCTTTTTCGTTTTGACATCCAATCGATTAATGTCAGCTCTGGTTCAGTTAATGATGTTGAGACTGTATTGCATCACAGGGACAGCCAAAGTGTTTATGACTGATATTCTGTTTTGTGAATTCAATTCGGTATTTAACACTAGATGCACACGTCTGCAGTATTCTTTTCTTACTTTCTCCTTCATTTTGGGTACGCTGTATTCCATTTCCTTCGCTGATTCCTAGATATTTATTGGCTTCTTCATGTTCTAGTTCCTTAATCTTTGTGCCAACATCTAAATTTATTGAGTGTGTTTCTGTAATTTTCTCTTTCTTTAATGTTACTTTTGCGCATTTTAAAATCCCAAATCCATACCAATGTCATCATTGAAACATTTTAAACTACTGAGGATATCCTTCAACTTATTGTCGTCTTTGACAAAGAGTTTGATATCATCCATGTAGAGTAGTTAATTAAACACTTTCTTTTTTACTTTGTATCCATAGTTATAAGCGTTTAGTTCATACAATAGGGGGTGTAGGTACAGACAAAACAGAAGGGGCGACAGGGAGCCTCCTTGAAAGATTCCTCTTCTGATATACAGGCTATCTGAAGTGACAGCGCTTTTGGTGTGATTTAGGTATAATATGGTTTTCCATATTCGCATACTGTGTTTAAGAAAATTTATTATCACTGCATAGTGCGCGCTTCGCCAGGGATACATACAGTTTTGAATTCCGTTTTCCTTCTCCCAGACGGGTTGCTATACAGCCCAGTCTGTACTACTATTTACTCAAAGCTGCTAGTAGAAGTGTTAGATTCATATTTTTCCCAAAGGTATAAGCACGTAAGTGAATCTAATGAACTCGACTGGAACTTGAACTCGGCTCTACAATCCCTCAATTCATTACTCTACCATGCTTCCTCCATAATAGTTCATTATTGATGAGGTACTGTCATGGCGTAACGGTCGTGCGAACTAACGAAGAGGGTGTACAATCACAATTATAATAGGATTATTATTTTTTTTATTTCCTTTGATATCTGGCGTTTACACATTTCTTTCCGGGTCCCGCCCAGGGATCTAAGGTTAGAAATGGTATCATGACACTTTCCACTGAAAAAAAAATTACATAGATAAAGCCCTTTGTAAAGTGTGGGATGTACTTGTGAGAACAAATTTATGTATCTTTTGAGGCATGGACTTCCAGGAATCCCTTCAATTAGTCTACTGCAATCTTTTCCAACCAGTCCTAGGGCTCCAACTACAACATGGATTGTTGATGTTCCCATATGGCACATTTTTTAGAGGTTTCTATTTCAAGGTACTTGTATTTTGACAGCTTTTTGAATATCTTCAAAGATACATTGCAGTCTGCAGGGACTGCCATATCAATAAGGAGGCATTTTTATTTGTTTGTGGTCTTTAATAACAATATATGGCCAGTTGGCCTTGATTGTTCTGTCAGTGTGTATTGTGTAGTCCCATAGAATTGTAACAGGTCCTATCTCCGTAACCGGGTCTGGGGGGGGTGTTCATACTAGTTTCTTTCAGTTTCCTTCCCGTAGAAGTTGCAAATTTTCCAGTGCAGATATTTGCCCA